GCTCGTTAAACATAGGCAGAGAGAGAGAGAGAGAGAGAGGCGTTGCGACAACATTGGAATCAAATACTTTATTTTGCAGAAACTGTAGCTAACATTTTAGTGGCAGCAGTTTGTAGAGATGCTCGTTAAACATAGGCACATACTATTACATGAGAAAAAGTAGAGGCCTTGAACCTGAAAGCGACTGTCTCTCATCTCCGCAGCGTACCTAGTTTCCTGCACATGCTCATCCACTTCGTTTCTTCCGCAAAGTACTCGACAAAATCCAACCAACTCACACAGCGCAGACATTCGAGTGAGTCCAGCTGACAAAGATTTTATCATCCTTTTCCGTCTCGCTTTCTGCCTTCTTTTGCTCTGTGTTAGCCTGTTTCAGTGTTTCCTCTAAGCATCCCCTCGCCTCTTCTATCGCTCACCCAGGTCACATCACAATACAGATCTAAGAGAGATGAATCAGAGATAGTGAGCGAGAATGCGGCCCCATAAAACAAACAAAGAAAAAGCCAAAAAAAAAAGAAAAAGAAGAAGAAGTGGGGCAACAGGGGCCTAGGAGGAAGAGGGAGGAAGCCGAAGAGAGAGGAGATAGAGGATGACAGAGCAAGGCGGCAAGCGACCAAGGGAGAGTGGACGAAGCAGGGAGAGGAGGGAGAAAAGGGAGAACAGAAAGAACAAAGAGAAATGGTGTACAGGGGAGAGGGAGGCAAGGGAACTAAGAGGAGGTTAGGATGTCGAAGGAATGGGAGAGGAGGGAGAGGACGGAAAAAAGGGAGAACAGGGAGAAATGGTGTACAGGAGAGAGGGAGGCAAGGGAGGCAAGGGAGGCAAGGGAGGCAAGGGAAGAGGGAGAAGAGGGAGAGGAGGGAGAGGAGGGACAGGAGAGAGAGGAGGGACAGGAGACAGAAAAGGGAGAACATGGAGAGCATGGTGCACAGAGGGATGGATCAGGAGGATCTGGACAAGGGGGAGGAGAGGGGGACCAGAAGGAGACGGAAGAGGGGAAGGACAGCAAAAACAGGCCAATGGACAAGAGGAAGAAGAGGGAGGACCAGGAGGACAGGGAGAACAGAGCATCAGATTTTTTGTTGTTTCTAAGTAAATCCCTTACGTTCTGTTGAGGTTGACGAACTCTGTTTCCCTGTCAGACACACAGCGAAGCCCAAAATGCTTGCATTGTGCTACTACCGTCTTTTCCCAAACAGAACCCATGGTCATTTATGGGACGGCTTTCAGTTTACATATCACAACAATAACTGTGCATCTATTCCAGTGACAACGACTGTACGTCTGGGCAGTAGTTAAGTAGCAGGTGATCTTATAGCCATCCACACTAGGACAAAGTCCAACATGACAAGGATCTCCCAGAACAATCTCTCTCTCTCTCTCTCTCTCTCTCTCTCTCACACACACACACACACACACACATCAATGTTACGTACCTGGCAAAGTCCGGCAACGGCGAATGTTGCATTTTCTGCCAATCTTGGGAGGGCTTCTTCACATGCCTTTTTCAATTCCTGCATCACACATTTTCCGCCAGTCAACATGTGAAAACGAGTCACATGGCCGTCTACCTCCGTTCTCTCGTTCTCCATACAGCTAAGATAAGAAACGGTTCTGTGAGGTACCTAGACTCTAGACTGCAGCACACAGAGCCCGTGCTGAGCAGCCTCTGCGCTGAGTGTCTGGAAATGGATTTAACGCGGGTCCCGCGTTGAATCTTTCAACGCGCATTGAAAACGCGGTAAAACGGCGTTCAACCGCCATTTTATCGCGATTCACCACGACCCCCAAAGATTTGTTTCACGGACCAAAAATAAGCCAAAAAAAAAAAAAAGGCTGTAGATCTGTTTGAGATCCACAAACTCGTATTTTTTATTTCAACTTTTGAAGTTTAAATATATTTTTTAAAAATCGAAAAAAAAAAGAAAAAAAAAAGAAAAAAACGATGAAATAAAAAAAAGGCTGTAGATCTGTTTGAGATCCACAAACTCGTATTTTTTATTTCAACTATTGAAATTTAAATATATATTTTTTTTAATCGAAAAAAAAGGAAAAAAAAAGAAAAAAACGATGAAATGAGCGGGTTTTTCTTTTTTCCACAGAGATTTCTTTTGAGCCAAAAAATACGCAAAAGAAAACAAAAACAAATGTAGAGTTGTAGACCTTTTTTAGATCTACAACCCCATAGTTTTTATTTTATTTTCGGAACTTTGGACATATATCTTTTAAGTTTTAAATAAACAACTTAAAAACAAAGAAAAGAACAAAAAAAAGATGATGAAACGGGTGTTTTTTTTTTTTTTTTTTTTTTTTTTTTTACATTTTATTTCAATGCACGGTGTGTTGCCCCACAGCCCTGCACACGCACACACACACACACACACACACACACACATATACATGAACACACACGGGATGGCGGGGGGGGTGGTGGGAGAGGACTGTTGGGGGGTAGCCAGGAGTTGGTGCGACATGAACACACACGGGGTGGCGGGGGGGTTGGTGAGAGAGGGCTGCCGGGGGGTAGCGGGGAGTTGGTGCGCACCCCATGAGTTAAGCTGAAAACGGCAGGAGACCCCCATTTTCGCGTTTAACCGGAATTAAACGGGGGTTTGGGGGATTTAAAGGGTTTCAACGGCCGTTTAACTGGACATTAAAATTGGAACGATACAGAGAAAGAAGATTAGCATGCCCCCTGCGCAAGGATGACGCGCATGAATCCGGAAACGGTCCAAATTGTTATTAAAAAAAAAAAAAAAAAACGTATGTAACGTAATAAGAGATTACTGTTGAAACAACAAGAAAAGGCAGGTCTTGTGGAGGAATCGAAATAAGGAGAGAGAGTTAGGGGCGGCAAAAACAGAGATGAGAGCTGTTCGAGAGGAGGGAGTATAACTTGCAGAGACAGCAAAGAGGGGCGCAGCAGAGACAGACGCAGAAGGGCGGAAATGAGGAGCAGAGTGGATCCTAGCACGAAAAAAAAAAAAAAAGGAAAAGCACCGGGGGCTGGTACAGGAAGAAGGTTGAATGATGGAGAGGGGAGAAGACAATCTGAAAATCAGTCTTTTGCAATGGACTGGGTTCAAGAAAAAAATCTGAAAAAGGCTTCGATAAGGAAACAAGCCAAGCAGTTGGTGGGAGTATTACCTTCCATACAAGTTCGGCAGCCTTCTCCGCAGCCTCGCTTTGACTCAGTCCTCTCTGTTGCGCTTGGAGAACGATCATCTTTGAGGAATGCCAGACGGGACAGAAGACCATCCACGAGTGCAGCGACGCCAACGAGTATACAATACTGCCGGAGGTAGTCAAACTGTTTGCAGCTGATGCAAACATAGAGCCGCATTCCAACTCCCATTTCAACGCAGACTGGCATGGAAAAGAAAAAGACCAGCAGCAAACAGAAGAAGAAGAACAACAAAAGAAGGCTTCAGACGGCAGAATACTTTCGTCACCAAACATGACAAAGAGACGGTAAAACAAATCGGAAGAGCAATGTAAGCAGGAGGAGGAAGAGGGGCGAGGAAGTAGAAGAAGAACTGCGTAGTAATGCCAGCGGGAGGCAGCGGAGGAAAAGGAGGAGGAGAGGAGGAAGAGGAAGGGAACAAGAACAAAAGATCGGTAGCGATGGGAAGAGGAAGAGGAGGACGACCAGGAAAAAGAAGAAATCCGAAGCAATGCCAGCACGAGACTGAGTGCAAATTGAGTGCAAGAGGAAGCGAAGGCGGAGGGAGAGGCGGCGGCGGAGGCGGAAGAGAAAGAGAACAAGAACGAGAACAAAAAATTGGTAGCGATGCAGAGAGGAAGAGGAGGATGACCACGAAGAAGGAGAAGAAATCCGAAGCAATGCCAGCACAAGACTGAGTGCAAACTGAACGCAAGAGGAGGCAGAGGCGGAGGAAGAGGAGGAGGAGGAAGCGCCAGTGAAGAAGAAGAAGAAGAAGCACGAAGAAGAAAAAGAAGACAAAGAAGAAGCACGAAGAAGAAGAAGAAGAAGAAGAAGAAGCACGAAGAAGAAGAAGAAGACGAAGAAGAAGAAGAAGCAGCAGCAGCAGCACGAAGAAGAAGAAGAAGAAGAAGAAGAAGAAGAAGAAGAAGAAGAAGAAGAAGAAGAAGCACAAAGAAGAAGAACGAAGAAGCAGCACGAGAAATGCAGGAAATATTTTCCCATTGACTTCACTGACAATCCTCAATGCTGATCTTCGTCAACTAAAGCAGCAGGGGAAAAAAAAAAAAAAATCTCCAGAGAAACATGGAAGTTGGTCCTTCAGGACATCCATTTAAATTGGAGCAGTGCAGAGAAGAAGATCAGTGTGGCCCCTGCAAAAGAGGATGACACCCATAGATTGACAAATGGTTTAGGAAAAAAAAAAAAAAAAAAAAAAAAAACGTGGAAATTGAAGGAGCCATCAACCAACCTCCAGGTACTCCTTCCTCCCTATGGCGTCTGTGGCACCTTGCACTGAAAGCTTCGGCTGCGAAAGTGCAAAGCAAAGCAATAATGCCCCGGGAGTTTCCGACACCGCATCCATGACTTCATTCGGTCCTCTCTCTGGGCTCTTTGCATCAACAACCCCCTTGCCTTTTCGCTGCGCCAAAGTCGATCGTTGTCGCCGTGACTGTGCAGAGCTCAGTATGTAGGGTACAGACTGAAGTAATCTGTGGGAACTGCTAATCTGTGACGTACCTTGCTCCCTCACATTGCGTGTTCGACGACTGTACAAGGAACAGAGAACGCGGCCAAGGAGCTGTCTCTTATACACATCTAGATGTGTATAAGAGACAGGGACAGGGGAACCCGGGAGGAGCGCAGGGGAGAAGAGAGAAATTGAAAAGGGAGGGGGACAGAAGAAAAAAAGTTGGAAAAAGGAAGATCCAAAAGAAAGAGAGAATTGAAAAAGGACATTCATTAAAACTTTAAAATAAAGAAAACGGAACAATGGAAGCACGACCCAAAAAAAAAAAAAAAACATGGCCCCAAGGAGCAACAGGACGATATGCACAAATCCAGAACAATTTAACCGCTAAAATAGTTAAAATTTAAATGGTTCAAAATTATCGAAATAAGTTGAAAAACCAAGAAACGAAAAGAGAAGGGAAGGGAAGGGAAGACAAGATCACACACACACACACACACACAAAAAAAAAAAAAAAAAAAAAAAACACTCACTCGCCTGAAGTTCCCGCTTCATTCCCCTGCTCCTACGCTGACTTGGAGTTGTTCCAAGCACATCACTTCTAATTCCAAATTCCAAAAGTGACCGACTCGGATTTCCAAAAGCGACTTGGAATTCCAATTCAAAGTCAAGATATTAAAGTCAAACAGTGGGACCATGTACACCAAAAGTCAAACAGTGGGACCAAGCATACCAAAAGTCAAACAGTGGGACCAAACATGCCAAAAGTCAAACAGTCAGACCAAGCGTACCAAAAGTCAAACAGTCGGACCAAGCGTACCACAGCACCAAGACTATACTTGGTGGAGTCAATCTTGATGGTTCAACTTTGACTTTGACATGGGCAAAATAAACTGAACGACTTTTGCCTCAGGGTCAGATCGAAATTCAGAATTCTTTACCAATTTTAAAATAAACATTAAAATTTTTAAATTAAAAAATCAATTTTATTTATTTTATTTTTTTATTTCTTTCTGGCCCGGCCAGGAGGGTGGACCCGGGCCACTCTGGTAGCCTAGAATAAAATTTAACAAAAAAAAACTGCTGGTCAACAACGTCAATCTTCTTTGTCGCATGCTGCCTTCGTTCACTGTTCGCAAATCTTCTTCTTTTTTGTTTTGTTTAAAAGGCTAATTCTTTAAGCCCAACCAATTCAATTACCTGTCGAATCTGGACAGGACGGCCTTTCAGGCCTTTTTTTATTGTCATTATAGTATTACGGGGAACCCCGTAGCAGCCACATCCACGCTCAAGCCTCCAGAGGGAACATGCGGGAGCTGCACCCACCAGCAGGTGCGATACCTGCTACAGCAGGTGGGCGATACCGGCCAGGGGTCAGCCGGTAGCATCAGGACTGAGCTTCTTCGATGGGCCAGTCACTGTGCCTCCCCTCCGGTCCCCTCCCCCTATGAACAAATCTTCTTCTTCTTCTTCTTCTTCTTCTTCTTCTTCTTCTTCTTCTTCTTCTCTTTTTTTTTTTTTTTGAATAAAACAGGTGGTTATGGCCGTGGCTCTGTATCCATTCTGCGGAGCATCAGTCCTGTTCCTATTCCCCCAACAATTGTTTTTTTTTTTTTTTTGCTGGATCATTTCCCCTGTGTAACACACCGGACATGTTCGGGGCTTTCCCGAACGCCGGAACATCCCAAACGTGTTCCGTCAAACATTTTTCTTTTTATGATTAAATTTCATTAAAAAATGTAATATAGTTTCGTTACGAATTTGAACATATGGTTGATATCCTTCCCCGTGCGGCAAAATTGACAGTGGAATACTTGCAGAGGCATGCTGTTGGCGGATTTTTCAGGGCCTGGGGAGGATGGGAAGTTTGCACAAAAGGAGACATGGTTGAGATCAGTTGAGTCGGGCTGGGATCTGGCCATAGCACAAGGGCACAAAGGTAGGATTAGACCTGAGGGTGCAAACATGATATATCCTACTTGGCACCGAACCATTCACTGAGGGACTGGATGGTCAATACCTTAAAAGTCGAAAAGACAGCAACGGTGGGTGGGAAAATTTGTGAGGTTATTTATCGACCTTGGGCTACGCCCAAGGAATTGGCGACAGGGAGAGACGATGTGCAACCGTCGAGATTCTGGATAAGGGTACTTAAAGTGCCGTTTCTGGCGATGCCGTTTTTGGAAGCTGCTGCTAAAAAAGAATTTGTTAAAAAAGATTTTGGTCAGGACTCAGGTGCTAAAAAACTACCCTCCTGCAGGGTAGTCACGCCGACGGTCGGCAGCCCTGAACCCGTCGGCGGCCGACGAGCCGACGGTAGGCGCCGTCGGCGCCGACCGGTCGGCGACTGGTAGGCACCCCGCAGAAAAAAAAAAAAAAATTGGCGGGGCCTGCTGGGCCGGTAGCGCACCGTCGGCCTCCCCGACGGACTTCTACCGACGGTAGCGCGCCGTCGGCCTTCCCGACCGTCGGCAGGGTCTTCCCGATGGAGTTTCGCAGAGTGGAGCGAATGTCTCCAGCTGCACCCTGGGTTGAAGCTGCGCCTGCATCGCCGCGCCTGATGAAGCCGCCCCTCCATATCTCTGCTTCGTGTTGCCGCCCCTGCCTTGACACAGGAAGTACATCGGGAAGACCTGACCCGATTTTTTTTTTTCCCTCCTCTTCTTCTCCTTCACCGTTTGTGTTCTTCCTCCTCTTCTTCTTCTTCCTTCTCCTCTCCTCCATTTCTTCTTCTCCTCCTCTCTTCTCTCTCTCTCTCTCTCTCTCTCTCTCTCTCTCTCTCTCTCTCTCTCTCTCTCTCTCTCTCTCTCTTCTTCTTCCTCTTCTCCTCTTCTCCTCTTCATNCTCTTCTTTTTTTCCCTTCGCTCCTCCTCTTCTTCTTCTTCCTCCAGTCCTCCTCTTCTTCTTTTTCCTCCTCTCCTCCTCTTCTTCTTCTTCCTCCTCCTCTCCCGCTTGGAAAATCGTTTTTTTTTTTTTCTCCTCGTCTTCTTCCCGTCCCCACTGAAAGCTCGGTTCTTGAAATTTCGTTAGGGTTTGGTACCGCTAACCTTTCTATTCTTCCTCCTCCTAGTTTTCTTCTTCCTTCTCCTCTCCTCCTCTTCTCCACCTCTCCTCTCAGTCTCTCTTCTTCTTCCGCTTCTCTTCTTCTCTTCCTCCTTCCTCCTCCTCTCCTCCTCCTCTTCTTCCTCCTCTCCTCTTCTTCTTCTTCCTCCTCCTCTTCCGCTTGGAAAATCGTTTTTCTTTTTCCCCTCCTGGTCTCCCAGTCGCCACTGAAAGCACGGTTCTTGAAATTTCGTTAGGGTTTCGTACCTCTAACCTTTCTGTTCTTCCTCCTCATCATTTTCTTCTTCTTCCTTCTCCTCTCCTCCTCTCCTCCTCTTCTCCACCTTCTCCACCTCTCCTCTATCAGTCTCTCTTCTTCTTCCTCTTCTCCTCTTCTCCTCCTCGTTCCCCCTCTCCTCCTCTTCTTCTTCTTCCTCCTCCTCTCCTGCTTGGAAAATCGTTTTTTTTCCCCCTCCTGGTCTTCCCGTCCCCACTGAAAGCACGGTTCTTGAAATGTCGTTAGGGTTTCGTACCTCTAACCTTTCTATTTTTCCTCCTCGTTTTCTTCTTCCTTCTCCTCTCCTCCTCTTCTCCAACTCTCCTCCCTCAGTCCCTCTTCTTCTTCCTCTTCTCCTCTTCTCCTCCTCTTTCCTCCTCTCCTCCTCTTTTTCTTCCTCCTCTCCTCCTCCTCTTCTTCTTCCTCCTCCTCTCCCACTTGGAAAATCGTTTTTGTTTTTCTCCTCCTCTTCTTCCCGTCCTCTCTGAAAGCACGGTTCTTGAAATTTCGTTAGGGTTTCGTACCTCTAACCTTCCTATTCTTCCTCCTCGTTTTCTTCTTCTTCCTTCTCCTCTCCTCCTCTTCTCCACCTTCTCCACCTTCTCCACCTTCTTCACCTCTCCTCTCTAAGTCTCTCTTCTACTTCCTATTCTCCTCCCTCTTCCTCCTCCTCCCCTCCTCTTCTTCTTCTCCCTCCTCCTCTCCTCCTCTTCTTCTTCTCCATGTCCAGTGTTAGCTGTAGTTTGACAATGTAGTTGGAAAGTCGAACATTGCTGGTGTGTGAAGTCAAGCTCTTTTTTTTTTTCTTTTTTTTCTTTTTTTTTAAACAGGAAAGCAGCGACAGGGGCCTGTTGGAAAGCGGCCTGCGGGCCCAGCGACGAATTCCCCCCCCCCTCTCCCCCATTCTTCTCCATCTCTTCGTCTTCTTCTTCCTCTTCTTCCTCCTCCTCCTCTTCCTCATCTCCCTCCTCTATTTTAAAGGCACGATGTCAGCGGGTCAGGGCGGCAGGGCCAGGGAGCCGTTCAGGGCTGTGGAAGGAGACGAGAGGGAAGAGCTGTTGCTCAAGCACGGCATATGGCAATGGGTCGACCAGGGGCAGAAGAACGTTGGCAGGGCAAATGGGTCATGGAGGATGCAGTGCAGGTTGTGCTCCAAGGAGCTTGATGGGGCCGTGAATCGGGCYGTCAATCATTTCATCCAACCATCAGACGGCGCCCGGTGCAAGCATGTCAACGGGGAGATTTTGTACGCCATTTACAAGGCACAAGGAAAGAGCAAGATCCCGCAGAAACTGTTGAGCAGACTGGATGCCCACATGCGGGAGCTTGGGTACCCGTCCTCAACACCGACTGGAATGGGCCAGGAGGATGAGGTCGGCGAGGATGGTTGTGAGGAGGATCCTTTTGGGGATGTGCCGTCAGCGGAGGGCAGCAGGCTTGAGCCAACACCTGCAACGGATCTCCCACTGCGACCTCCAAGCAGCAACGCTTCCAGGCAACAGACATCGATGACCAGCTACTTGGTCGATGAGCTGCAGAGGGAGATGAATCACGCGGTTGCACAATTTTTCTACGAAAATGCAATTGCGTTCAATCCAGCGCGCTCTGATGCCTACAAAAAAGTTGAGAAGGTCATGGGTGATGCAGCCAGGGCAAAGAAAGTGTTGACGTTGCCATCTTACGACACATTGAGGACTGACGAGCTGCAGGGAAGCAACAAGAAGACTGACACCGACATGGATGAGATGTCCACATGGCCTAAAACTGGATACACTCTCATGACGGATGGCACGACGACAACCAGCAACAGGCCGGTGATCAACTTCCTTGCCGGAGGAGACAAGGGTGCACTGATGGTGAAGAACATGGATATGGAAGGGAAGGACAAGTCAGCACCAGCCTTGGCTAAGATGTGGGAGGGGGTGATCAGGGAGTTGGGTGTGAAGAACATCAACGCAATATGCACCGACTCTGCACAGGTCAACATCTCTGCTAGGAACATCCTTGCAAAGCATCCAGACCGTGGATGCCTTGCGCATGCCACATTTGCAACCTCCTCATGGTGGACATTGCCAGTGTGCCGTGGGTCGCGGAGGTGATTGTACAGGGTAGAGACATTACACTCTTCGTCAAGAGGCATCAGAGGCCTCTTGCCATGTTCAGGAGKAAAGGGAAGCAGAGGAGGGTTGAGGCGGCTGCACGAGGAGACAAGAGCAGTGGGAAGGCATTGGAGCTCATCACACCGGGGGAGACCCGTTTTGGAACTCATTACCTTATGCTGAAGAGACTGCAGCTGATGGAGACTGTGTTGATGGACACAATGTGCAGCAGTGAGTGGGATGCGGCCCCGTGGGAGAAAAGCAAGGTAGAACGGGCACATGCATGCAGGGAGCTCGTGCGCAGTGTAGAGTGGTGGAAGACAGTGGATGAGGCTGTTAAACTGCTGGAGCCAGTTTACAAGTTCATGTGGACCATGGACAGCGATGGCCGAATGGGTCCTCACATATGGAGTCTTGCTGTCACTTTGGAAAACAGAATGAAGAGTGCTCCTATGGACGATGACACCAGGAAGGTGGTGATGCAGAAGGTGAAGCAGCGCATAGAGATGATGGCACTTCCTGTGCATGCAGCTGCACACATGCTGCACCCTGCGAACCGTTCTGCTGATCTATTTGACAACCTGGAGGCCCCGGTTATACACAACACTTTAGCCCACATTGCGACGATTTATCCAGTTGGGACGCAAGCGTACAGAGAATGTTGGGATTCACTGTTGAGCTTCCACCAGCGGGACCCGGAGTGGACGGGTGAGAACTCAAAGGAATACCTGTCCAGCAAGAGGATCTCGATGGCACAATGGTGGATGACTTATGGTAAGAAACACGTCAAGTTGCAGGGCATTGCCATCAAGGTCCTCAGCATGTGGACCACCGCGTCCCCGTGCGAGAGGAATTGGTCGACATTCGACCTCGTGCACACCAAGAGGCGAAATAAGTTGTCTCCTGAAACGATGGATAAGCTCGTCTTCGTGCATTGGAACACCAAGCTTCTTTGAATGTCGCGATTGAAGAGAGGTTACGTGAACACCGAGCGTCTCGACTGGGAGACTCCGGAGGATGTGGCCCCACATGACGGATTTATGCAGGATGGGGAGTACGACCTCGAGGACGTGGCGATACGGGCCGCAAATTGGTCGAGAGCAGGCAGTCGCTTATCCCAGGCAACGATGCTTGACATTCAGCCTATTCTAGACGAGGTTGAGGATGACGGAGCATGGTTGGCTGCTCAGACTTACACACCTCCTCCGCTCAGACCAAACCGTGCCAGGGTGGTGGAGGATGTTTCAGCGGATTCGGACGATGAGGAGGAGGATGAGATAGCTGATTTGCCTCTTCTGTGTAGCAGGGCGAGGATGACCGCGTCACGCAGGGAGCAGGGAGATGACAGTTTGGTTGGTGGTGTTACCGTTACTCCTACCACCCGGGTTGACGAAAGTGCAGTTGGTGGCGCAGGTTCTTGTGTGACCACTTCTATTGGTCATCATGCTTCTGCAGCCGTGGCTGTTGGTGGAAGATCAACATTGCAACGTAGCACTTGTGTTGGTGGCACGAGTTCAGCTGCTGATCATGTTCATGGGAGCACTGCAGTTGGTGGGAGTTCGACCGTGCACAGCAACAGTTTTGGTGTTCCTTGTAGTCTGGCAATTGGAGGGAGTTGCATAGTGGACGGTGGTGTTGCTGTTGGTGTGACCGTGAGTGATACTGGTGCAGGTTGCCCTGGGGACGCAGCGGATCTGCCCGCAGGGAAGGCCAGTGCTGATCTTGATGTTGGCATGAGTGACGCTGGCGGAGAGTGTCGTCAGGACAGCACCACCATCCCACCTGCAGCAGATGTGTTCGCCTCACTTATCAATTTCATATCCCCTGAAGATTACACGATTTCACCATTGACTTCCCCCCTCCAAACGGACAGTGAGGACAACAATCCACCTCGGGAAAGATTGAGCAGTGCTATCCCGCCTGTCCCACGGTTCGATGAAGAGACCACACCCTCATCAACTGCAGTACACAGGGGAATGAGCCCAAGTGATGGACAGCAGCCTGCGGTACAGGATTGTGCAAGGATTTCCTGGAAGAGAATGTCCCCGCCTGAAATTAACCAAGAGGTCGTGCGCACGGTAAAGAGCATGGCTGGCTGGAAGAAGGGATCGAAGAACAAGGAAGTGTCGAAGAAGATGAATGTGTCAAAGAAGAAGGACAAGTCAAAGAAAAGGGAACAAGAGAAAGAGAAGGACGCGTCAAAGAAGAAGGACAAGTCGAAGAACAAGGATGCCGGAGAAGGCCCCTCGCATTCTGTTCGCCGACCAGTTGGCAGACCATGACGAGCTCGGACTGAGCCCGACCCCGACCCTTTGGAAATGAAGAGAGCTATCGTCAGAGCGGCGAAAGCGTCGATAGCACTGAAATTGAAGAAGAAGTCACAAGCTGCTAGCCATTCGCCAACAAAACGGGGTAGAAAGAGGCGGAGGGTCGTGGATGACGATTCCGCTTCTTACTCATCTACCACTCCAGCCTCCTCGACTTCATCTTCCGATGAGTCGTGCACCTCCTCTAGTGGCAGCGACAGCAGCAGCAAGTGATACCTGTTTCGTATGTGCCCAGAGAGAGAGAGAGAGAGAGAGAGAGAGAGAGAGAGAGAGAGAGAGAGAGAGAGAGAGAGAGAGAGAGAGAGAGA